TTTTTGTTTACAAGCAGATATCCTGTTCTTTTGGTGTTTTGTATGTTCAGATATTTATATAACAAAATACAGTATATACAAATTAATACCTAAATAGTGACATAGTAGTATACTTAAAGTATGATGTAAAGTTCACTTAAAGAAAACTTACGAGTATACTTGCAGTATAAAACTAGTATAATATAAACTAGTATTATATAAACTAGTAGTTTACTGAGATTATACTTCAAAGTGTACTAAAAATGCTACTACAAGTATTTAATTAGTAAATTATCAGTATACCTATAAGTTCACTTTAGTGTAGTTGCAGTACAAACTAAACATTTTGATGTAAACTAGTTGTGTACTCAAAGTTTACTACTGTTATACTTAAAGTATACTTAAAAGTATGCCAATTTAGTGGGCCAATTTAGTCCCAAGGAGTATTGAAATAGTACACTTAGTACACAATAGTACACAAGTATACTACTAGTACACTGATATTTGTATACTTACTACATAAAGTATACTTAAAAATATACTTGAACTTTACTTAAGTATACTTACTAAAATAAACTTGAAGTATACTACTTTCTGGTAAGGGAAGAGTTGACCTCCTCTTCTATTTCTGTCACAAAGATCTCTCTCTGAACTGGAAACAAGAAATATCTTCCAAGAATCGGCCATAATTTGGGTCCTAGGCAAGCGTTTTGCAGTAATTGTGTTGCTATTGCACCAGTACAGTACTTCATGTTTATGTGCACCAATGGAAAATAGCATGACGCCCACTTCAGGTTCTTGATATTCTTCCGCAGTACAGTGAAGTTATACATATCGCTCTGGTGGTTCAATATGACTCGTACTGCAGTTTCAGATGATCCAAAGCAAACAGCATCCTCCTGTGTGTGTTTGTTAGCGATCCAGGGGTTGGCTGTATTCTCTGCAGGATTACAGCTGAATCAGGTTGCTGGAGTCTCATGGCACAAAATTGTGTATGTAAGCACTTTGTGGAATTAGGTGCACTCAACACATGTCTGGAACCTGTTCTGGAACCAGTAATTTACTTCACTCTTTTTTTTTGTTCTGCTTGTTTAGGCCCAGCAGTCATGCTTCCCCAATGAAAATGCCTATTTGTGCTAAAACACCTGGTGTAATCTAATTTGTGGCATTTTAAGGCAGAAGTGTAGTCTGAAGTCAGAGAGACGCTCCCCCACAAGCCATTATTGTCTTATGAAGCAATGCCTCATCCCTATGAGCCAGAGAAAATGCAGTTTGTTTGGACTCGTAGATGCAACACCAAACACAAACACAAAAGATGCTCTAGCGTTTGCAGTTTGTGTTCTGTGTGCATTGTGCAATTCATAACACGTTTTTGTCATCAACATTTGTTCTTGTCAACACTCTGCGGTGAGTTCACTAAACGGTTGCAATGGTTTTGCATGCAGTCTTTCAGTGGAATAAAATACTGCAAAAGACAAAGCTGTATTTAATTGCAAAAAGAACCCCAATGCATGTAAATGAAACAAATTTTTTTTCTGCAAACATTCT